ACGTTCGCGACGTTCGGAAAGGTCACTTCCGCGTCGCTCGCTAATTAATTCGTCCGCCACGTTGTTCGTTTCAGCATCCGCAAATTAACGGTTCGACAGGCGGATGATCGATTCGGCATTTTGCAATTACTCGCCGACGACAGGGGAGATCTTCCGGCCGTGCAGTTTTCCAACCTTTCTATGCTGTTGAATACAAACAAAAAAAGTCCCAACCGTCGGGACTTCCCTCTGACTCGCGAGATCGCTTTCGCTCGGTAAAATCTCTATGTAGAAATGTTATCTTTACATGTAAATTATAATGCCTTCCCGCTTTACCTCCTTTTCCCCCCGTGCGTCCGCCTGACAATCTTCTTACGTATTTTATTCGTCGAGTAATTGAGGGAATCGTAGATAATTGACGTTTCAAGAGAGTGTTTTTGCTTTAGCGTTAAATTTATATATATTAATTAAAAGACGAATGTTACTTTGCACTTCCTGCCTGCGTTCGACTATCGTAAATAACATTCCCGCCGAGCGATTTTTCGCTATCGGTATCGCGGCGAATCGGCGGCCGGCCGGAGTGCGTTAATTTATTGTCTTCCAGCTACCGTCAATCTCGCTGATTGTCGTTATCATCAGCGGGGTCGGCCCACGCGAGAAAGAGAGGAAGAGAGAAAGAGGGAGAAAAATGTTGTAGACGCGCTCGTCTAATCATTGCGCCACGAGAGCTATCTCGAGCAGGAAGAAGAAAGTGTGCAGCGCTAAAAGCACGACGTGCGTGCTTTCACATAAATATCAGCTTGATAAATGTACCGGCCGGGGCGTTATGGATGGAGAATATTAGAATGGCACATGGCGATCGCACGCGGCGATGGCCGCGCGCTATTGTAGGCGTAGCGAGAGAGCGGAGATTAAACGCGATCCCAATCAAGACGATTCACGCGCGCGCGCTTCCGCGTCCTTCGACGGAAACGTTGCACTCGATCCATCAACAATTACGGCGATTAAGATCCGCGTGAACAATCTGCAGTGCATAAGCGAGAGAACTCGTAGCTTTGTTAACCCCCGCGGTCGTCGGAGCGGCGTGTCTCGAAATAACCTGTGTCATCTAACGAAACAGAGGCGATAGAATTCGTTGTCAAGGCTCAGACGCGTTCCGATCAAGAGAGAGGCCATTTACCTTTCTACGCCTTTTCTTTTTCCCACACTTCTACGTACGGAGAAATATTGCACCGCGAAGAGAAGCGATTACTCAACTTTATTATTTTTCTTTTAAGTAATGGCTATCTCGGAACGAAGAATATTTTCTTCATAATAATGTGAAAATATACTTGTGACAAATATTAGAAAAGCTCATTATCATTTGCTGAAAGGAAGAATTTGTTCTCCTTTCCGAGAAAATGATAAACTTTATCGGCGAAAAGTGAAATTCGGTTTGATGCTTGTAATGAATTTATGATATATTTGCAGACGTACAAACTTGGGAAATATTCGAAACAAATAAATATCATAAACTCGTCATAACTTGACACGGAACTTTCCTCTTCAACCTCTCTTCTCGCAATTTTGTCAATGCAAGAAACGCCTTGGTATGCGTTTTCTCGCTTCTGACGTCATCAAACAAGGACGATTGCAACGAGGGAGCAGAAACCTTAAACACACGGCAACTGTTTTGATCCGAGCCGGTCAGCTTGAGAAATTATCGACGGAAAGTTTCCCGCGTGCTTCGAGCGGAGTCCGCCGGATTTCATCGCGTGCGTGTAAATCCATTCTCGCGTGGTAAATTGGTGCGATGGACGTGAATAAAGGGCCGAGCCTCTCGAACGCATCTCATTGTTAAGGATACGTACGAGCGGATTACGGGAGAGAGGACGAGTTCGCAGTTGCGCTTATGAGTGTAACTACCGGCGCGGGATTAACCTGTTGGAATAGACCGGGGATAGATCAAGGTGTATCAGGCCGCGAGATTAGTCGCCGATAGTAAACGGGTTGACACGTCCGAGACGGTTATATCCTCCGGTATATCCTACGCGAGGCGGGCCGTTAGCCCGCGGCGCGCATTGTAACACCCGCGTAGGAACAATGGGAAGCTCGTGCAAGATGATTGATCGCACGGCTGGATGCAATCGTACCTCCTCGCCGTCTCTTATCTCGGCGGCTCTTCGTCTTACGCGCCGCGCGGCCGGCTTGATGAGTCTCGCTAAGTCCGCCGCTTAGGCTAACCGCCGCGGTGCTTCGCATACCAAATATGCACGGCCGCTTATAAATTTCGCTCTCCCGTAGATGCGCGCACCTACGCACCGTGAGCCACACGCGCGGTCTGTCCAGGCTCTCTGCTGCAACTGGTGTCGAACGAATAATACAAGACGTCAATTATATTTTTGTTTTTGTTTCTTATTTTTTTTTTTTTTTTTTCATACAACACTGGAAATGATTAAACAATTTTTGCAAAGCAGTCGCTGTGCTCCGTTTTTCCGGGGTCGCCTTGAAAACACGTCCTTCGGGTGTCCTGAATGATTTTCTTTTATCGGCAACTTGAGTTTCGGGAGTAGCCAGAAGTCCACGAAGGCAAATCGGTATTAGATAACAATTTATCTCTGCACTGGTCGTCATTGTCGCTAATGTACGTTCACCCAGGCTCGCGCGTATTCGATACGCGATAATCTGTGCGATCCACACCGGGGCGAATAGTTCGAATGCATCACTGCCGTAATCGAGACGCTACCGTCAATAATTCCGATATCGAGACAGCTGTAATTTTAGCCGCGACGCAAACACTTTGTTCCGGTTATCTTGCTCCGTATCATCCGCAACTGAACCGTGTCTTTTCCATACACTTCGGCCGATCGATGCCCGTACTCAGGCATTATCGGCGAAAACATCGCCGCCCGAGAGGCATCAACGTAATCCACCGCGTGGATCCCTCGATCGGATCCGTCTCTCTCGGTCTCCTCGATTTAATCAAACTCGTTCTTTCCGTCCGGTGAAATTCGATACGCCGACCGACGGTCGGGGCGTTTAGTTTTCGTTCGATCGCGGCTGTCCCTTCGCGGCGTAGATCGCGATCGCGTGGGTCGTGAGCGAGGTGCATCGGGGACTCGACTTATGCAAATTCAATTTAGCCCGCCCGTGCAGCGGACGAGGATCGGTCAGGCTCGGACACTTCGCGAACACTTCGGCGTATCGGTCGTTCAACGGATTTAGTTCGGAAGTAACGCGCCGTGTAAATCGTGATAACTATAATCACACCGAAAGAAAAAGTGCTATATTCGAGTGAATATTTTACTTGGATTAAATAAATAGTACTTGTATGTAGCACATTGAAAGAAAAGAAACTGCTATATTCAAGATAATACAGCGTGCTATATTAAGTAATATTTACTTAATCCAAGTAAAATAATTCTAATATACATTAGTGAATATTTACTTGGGAGTTTTATTTGATAACATTTTTTTCAGTGCATCATATTAAGAGAATAATGAGTTTGAATGCGATAAAATTTATTAAATTTGAAGAAATCCTTTTCTCAGTGTGAATCAAAATTTTCCACGGTTTTCCTTCTTCGGCCTATTCGCGAATCCTCAATCCTAATCGCTTCTATCCTGACGTTCTTATTCTCTATCCCTGTTCTAAAAGCAAAACAGAGTCTGCCGCGCTTGGATCTTCTTACGTTAAGCGCATTCCGCTGCAGCCCTGCGCAGGGTGCCGCACGTAACTCACAATGACGGCGTGCGAGAGGTGCCTCGAAGATGGAAGAGGGACCCGATTGATAGATAAATAGAACGAGAAGGCAGGAGGTGCATGAGGGGGGGAGGGGAAGAGAAGCGACGCACCTTGGAATCGGCTCGTCTTAAGTCACGGCAGCTGGCCGGTTCCTTCGTTTTATTTCGCATGACGGGCATCAAGGACCCGCGCGTTGCTTCTGCCAGCCTCTCATAACCGCTTCATTATCCGCCACTTTATAAATACGTTCCGCTGCTGGGGCTAACTGTACGCGCGGTACCCGCGCGGAGGTTACTGCCTATCGAGGCTGGAATTTTTGCGAAAGTCTCTCCTCAGTCTCGTCGATCGAGGGGGCAGCCTTTGCGTTCGTCGCGATGGCGACTCCTCATGGGTTCTCTTTCTTGGCTGGCTCGTTAGACTACGCGACATGTGCCTTGATGTTATGTTCTGTGTTGAAATTTGTTGGAAAAAAGACGTTTAAGTGAGAAGATCGTCTACGTTCAATAGAGAAAGTAGCTCAGTGAACGCTTAATGATTATTGGTCCCGATTGGTGCATTCTCTTAGATTTGTCAAGAATTTAAAAGAATACACCGGTCGCAGACAATAATTCACATAGAAAATTAATTGGGATTTAAACCCGATTTCCCAAAATAATTATGGATTCCAGTTGGAAATTCTACGGAGGTTCTGGTTTGAAGTGTAATGTTTCAAACATGCGATTCCGAATAAGAAACATAAACAGGTCCTATTTGGTCACCTCCAACGCTTTTCCAAAGATTTTTCTGGTTTCCATCTGATATTATGATTGAGCAAAATACGAAACACCTCGAGTATTTACACTTCACAAATATATACATATACAACGCACACGCGCGGTATTAAGTATGGTAACATTAAAAATACAACTCCGTTTATTAACCTCCTAATCTGACATTCAGTCAAATTCGTCTCTGACGATGATAATCGCACGCGGCACGAAACAAGCCGCAGCACGTAGCCAATTAGTATCGCCGAAAAGAGGTTGTATTCCATGTTTGAGATAAAAAAATGTGATTCCTAATTGGCACGAATCAAAATTTTAAATTCTACATTAAATCTTCTAGTTGAGAAAGCAGAAACAAGTTCTCATTTGTTGCATCAAAATAGCACAATAAAAAAACTTTTGAAGATTTAACATAGACGACACGAATTTCTACACGGGAACAGAGCCTTTTCCTCCGCTGAACGCGCAGCTATTGTTGAATGTTCTTTCTCTGTCTCCAATTTTCAATGTCTCCGATTTTCGATTGTTTTCAGGATGAAATCGGCGAGATAATCGAGTCGGTGCCGACGACTCCGCTGCGCATCGCGGCGGAAGAGCCGAAGTTCCCGAGCCCGGCGGACGAATCGTGCGCGACCGAGTCGATCATCCGTCCGAAGCCTGTGAAATCGCATCACTTCGCGAGGAGACAGAACTCCGTGACGCGAGGTGGCGAGGACATCGGCGACTGGTCGAACAACGTCCTCGCGGAGTTCAATAGCCTAATCGCCCACGAGATCAGCGAGCTGACCAAAGAGAAGACGAGGAGGACCGGATCGCGCGACAACGTCAGGGTGGTGCAGTACAAAGAGCTGCTGAACGAATTCGGGTTGACCGACAGTGAGAGTTCCGATCGGCGGTCCAGCGGCGAGCATGCCTTTCCTTTGGACGAGGCTCGACTGCGAGACCGCAGGAACGAAAAACCGCTCGACGAGGATGATCGTCGCTGTCTGTTGAACTCCGATTACGACGAGCCGCAGGACCGAGTGATACCCGAAGGAAGGAAGAGCGGCAGCCTGCCGGAGAACCTGCAGGACATCATCGTCGCGAAGCGATTCCAGCGCGCCGCAGACACTCTCAGCTCGGACTACGACGAGCCGAACGGCTGCTTGCCGATGCATTCGATCAGGAATCAAATCGATCGGATCACCTCTAGTCTACCGTCGAAACTGGAGCGCGAGTGCGCTCCGAGGGACGCGCGAGTGAACCGAACACCAAAGACACCCGTAGGATTAAGTTCAAGGACCAATGAGGAGGACGCGCGAGTCGAGCCGTTCGCCGCGGAAGAGCCTGAAGAGGTCAACGCCAGGTTGCCGCCGCGACAACGATCCAACGACAGGAAGATCAGTCTGGCGAATCAAAAGCGCAGGAAAGTAGCGCGGCTGCAGAGGATCCGACGCGGCCCGGATGACCGGGAGACTATGGATCCCGATTACGACGACGTGTTTCCGCACGAGGAGATCGGCCGGTCGAGGTCCTTGGAGAACCACGTGCCGAAGTCGGCGCCCGTGACGCCCACGGAGGAGAAGAAGCCGCCTTTCTCGAAGCTGCTGAGGAAACGGCACACCCCGGTGTTCCACGAGAGTTCCGACGACGCCGTCCTGGTCAGCGTGTCCTCGTTGCCGGATCAGGACCTGTTGCGACTGAGAGACGACAACAGGCCCTGCGAGACGAGGAACGGCAAGATGGGCGCGAAGGAGACGACTAAGAAAAGAGCGGTGTCGCCGCTGACTCTGCGCTCCGACATCACCGCGAAGAGACTGTCGGAATCGGACAAAGACGTCCGACAGGTCAGTCCGGTGGACCTGAAGAAGTTCTCGTTGGCGCAACGGCCGTGGGGCAACGACGTCGCCGTGAGTTGCGACCTGCCCGAGAACCACGACGTCGACGGGAACTGCGTGATCCCGAACGGCATTTTCGGCAAGCTCGAGCACGCCGAAATGAAGAGGATCATCGAGGAGCAAAACGCGAGAGCTGGATCCGTAAGTTCGGCACTGATTCGTATCGTTCGTCTCTATATTATCTTATTGCGGTTAACGTGAAAATTAACATCGATCGTTCGGTTAGCATGAAGAATAACCAGGGTTGAAAAATAACGCGTTACTTTTGCAATATCGTTACAGTTACTTTTTTTTTTAGTAACGATTTGGTAACGATGTTACATTTTCTCATTAGTATTAACGGTAACGGTAACTCGTTGCATTTTTGGGTTACGGTAATATAACTGTTACTTTGCACACTTACAATACACTAAAATACACACGCATATATGAATCCTAAAAAAAATCCTCAAGCTCGAAACTAAACTGTAACGACTCGTTACTTCTTAAATAACGATAATGGGTTAATTTTCAAAAGCAACTTTCCAACTCTGAGAATAATATCTTTCTTTGGCACTAAGAACTTCCCGGTACATTCCGTATACGGTTATGCCGGGGACACCTTGTATAATACGTCATGAACTCGAGAAAAATTCTAGTTAAATAATTCGTTTTTGATTTGAAATAATTAAAAGTTTTCATTACTTTTTCAGCGTCTTTCGCTGTGATGATTCTCTAATTTCAGCAAACGCAATGTTTCCCGAAGTTATTTTGAAATGTTCAAATATACGAGTTACATTGCGACGCTGTTGAAGCGTAGATAACGTTGAAATGTAGATCCAAAATTATAGATGACGTTGAAATATAGATCCGAACGACGATAAGCACGAGCTCGCACTGAGATTAGTTTATCCTCTCGCAGTTGCCCATTTCCCTGCAGTCTCTATTGTCGAGAATACGAAGTGGTTCGGGTTCCTGTTGCCCGAACAGCCCACCCATGGATACTCTCACCTGCTCCGATGTGGCAACTCAAACCTCGCCGGCAATTTCGAGGAGCTCCAGCTTCACTTGGGTCAGCGATTGCGACTCTCCCCAAGGTAATTTTCGTGTGTTATCCCGCTTACTTACTCGGCCTGCTCGATATATATTCATGAGATTAGTTAACGCCCATGAAATTTATTTCTGTTCCGGCTCTACGTAATCCGGTGTCGATCGTAAGGGTTCCGTTTATCGATGATTTATGTTTAGATTAACTCGCCGCTTACCGGCTTATCTTTAGGTTACATTTAGGGTTCGTCCTTGAAGTCACATCTGTTTCGGGTGATTTTTCCGTGTAATAATGAACAACGGGACGGGAGGGGAGAGGAAAATCTCTCAATTTTACGATTTATTTATTCTCAGTATCTTTTTGGGAGCAATAATCTCGAATGACTAATAATCGCTCGGTAACAGATACACATATTTTATTTTCTTAACATTACTCATTTTTTCATATTATTGAAATTTCAAAATATACGTAAAATGAAAAATAGATTTCTATACCGGAACAATGTGTTCCGAAAAAGACCTGATGCCGACGAGAATCTCGCGAGAATAGACTCTGGAGGGAGAGAGGAAACGCGTAATATTATCATTCTGCAAAATATCGCTTGTATACCGATACGGTTGTAAAATTTTCATGTACTTAATTCAACGGTTGAAGACGTTGGATGCAGCGTTAATCCTGTAGACCCATTTACAGTTTGTTAAATCGCTTTTCCCTCTCTGTCGTAGCCGAGTCACAATTAGATTCGCAGTCGTTACAAGACGAGAGCACATTAGATCCAGTTTCTCCCCAGGACACCGTGGACGACGACAATAGATCCTCGTCGTCGTCGCAGGAGCTCTTACAGAGCATGGATGAGATTTCCTCCGGAAGTCTGTCGCCGGATACTACTACTGACAGAGCGTCTCCGCTCGAAAGCGGCATCGGCACTGCGAGTCCTCCGAGAAGCACGGACCGGCGACTGACTAAACGTAAGATCGCTTGAGGATACTTTATAACGTCAAATCCATATTCTCTTTAGTTTCCGCCATTAAATCTGATTAACCTTTCGTGATTTCTAATAGCATTCGTTTTCAACAAATACCATAACTATTTTTTCTTCGTTAAAAAACGAAACACTTTTGTCGTTAAAATTTTTTTAACGTTAAATGCGTGAAGACCGACGTTCCCTGAAATCTCGATGCACTTGTCCTTCGTGTAGCGTCAACGCCGAACAAATGCCACCGTAAAGAGACGTGGGAGCGAATCCGGCGACGACCGTCGAAATTGAACTCGCGAAACGACAAGAACTCGCAGGACGTGTGGGTGAAACGCGAGAGTGTGCATACGCAAACGAAGAAAAACGAGGATCAGTACTCGCAGGAGGCGGTGGACAGCAGTAGCGGTCTCGATGACTCTTTACCGAGGATCAAGGCGCCCCGGCCTACGAATTTACCGCTATGTGAGTCATGTTTAGCGTATCTTCCGAGTTCTACTTCCTCCTAATGCGTCATATCGGGGTTGTTATCTCTCTGTCTTCCCTTTTTTTGATTACATTCAACATATATACGAATCGTTTATATCAAGAGCTTATTTTATAAGCTCGATTTTAAGAAAAATTCGTTGATAAGAAATCATATACTCGACGTTGATTTATACATATGTATATATCATTAAAATTGATTGGATCACGAACTTGGTGTCATTTTTAAAGAATGCATCGCTACGAAAACTGATAAAAAAAATACTTCTATTAAAACTTTCCTTATGTTGTTTATCACGCTCTCCGTATTAAAAATGATGATAATTTAACGCTTAACATTTTCAATTTAAATTAATTGCGTATCGCTCACCGTTCTTCTCGTTCTCACGTTTTATAATAGTTTGTTTCTGTTTGGCTCTTTGAGAGTAAACCTAAGTGACGTTCAAAGTTTATTTGCCTACTCGTTCAGCCCCTCTCTAATATTCCGAAAGAATTTACAAATATTCCGATGCGTCATTGACTTGAACGTAAACGATCTTGCCGCTTTTCTGCGATAGGCTTGTCCACCGCGAGCAGTTCCTTGAGTTCGGGTGAGCTGCTCGAAACGCCGCCCCGAGCGCCGTCGTCACCATCCGCGGCGAGCCTCCAGCTAAAGCCGGAACCTCTGACTGTGGAAATGGGCGGAAAGAGCAGCAGCGCGCCGTTGCTGGAGAACAACGATGTCGAGGACGTCGACGGGAATGTGTCGGTAAGTGTCTTTTACAAAATACGCGCGTTTAATTTCAAAAGTTTGACATAACGAAGAGAGAGAGAGAGAGAAAGCTGACTAATAAAACGTACTGTTAAAAAATACAGTCTTTAAAAACTTTTACTTTTCTCGCGCGTCGTTCAATTTTTCCTCGTCTCCAAGTCTGGCGCTAACTTCATATTAGCGTTTCTCGAATTGTCGGCGAAAGTGGAAAAATCTCGATAGCATGTTAAGATATCGTTAACGTATTCAATATCGCTGTTATAATTCATCGCTGTTGCGCGTATTACTAAGACAGTGTCTGCAAAAATCGACACGCATTATGTAGAATGTCGGTTGTTCGGGTCATAAACATGTAGACTGCCAGACCGTGTATGTTTACGTAAATCAGCGCGCGCGCGCGTCTAAAAACCAGTCGTCGAGAGTCAGTCGGTCGCCGCGCGTCGCAGAGTCGGCTGTTCTCGCGGTGGTATTTCTCTGCAACACCGTTCTCCCGAGATTCTTCCACACACGAGTGTAAAGAATCACGGAGAAGCGAAGCCGCGTGCACGCCACGGATCTCCCTTCCGGAGGGGAGCGAAGAACTGGTAACGCGCCTCCCTGTCGTCCTTGTTTATACCCTGCCGGCTCTTCTTCAACCTTACGTAAGCGGCAGTCGTCTGACGTCAAGTCACCGGCGGCTTGAATCGCCCCCTCAAATATCGACAGCCAACTCGGGCATCACTCGTGGGGAGTCGCTCGCTCGCTCTCGGCGTTTACATCTCCGGTATCGTCCTGGATATTAATCGCGCGGCGGTAGTGCGCCGTTTATACGTTCCCTCGGCACCACCACGATCGGCGGATTCGCGCGCGCGCGCGGCCCGCTATTAGTCTCTGCCCACGTGGTGAGCGCGAATGGCAGCGTCCCGTCCGTGAACGGAGCCGGGAGTGTCGTGAGATCGACTCTTTGTTGCCGCGATCAATCCCTTTTCCTTCGGACAGGTATATATATATGTACCCACACCTGTTTTCTTCGCGAGGGACGGGGGAACTCGCGAAGCGCGACTCCGAGGGAACCATGGGAACCGATCTCTTAGTCTCTCCGGTCTTCTATGATTAATTAATCTCCGCGAGTCGCGTCGGCACGTCGACAAATTTCGGCGTGGGAGCGTCGGGATATAAATTACCGGTCGCACCGTTGCGACGGAACGCACGTTGTCAAAAACGCTTCGCTCTCTCTCTCTCGCGTTACACCGTCCGCGACGCACGGGTGAATTGTCGATTCGAGGAGCAGCAAATAACAGTTCGCGTTGGAAACAATCTGCGAATGCATCCCCTCCGCCAGCGGGGATTAATATTCAACGCGGAAACATCGCGAAATACGCGCACGCATTCCCGATTGGCAGTTGATTCGCCCGGCGCGACGTTTGCATAAAAGAAAGCCCAACCGGGGGAATTGAGTTTGCTCGCGATTAATTGTTCGAATATTCGCGCAAAGTTCACGCGAACACCAGCGGCTGCTGCTCGACCAATTGAATTTCGGCCTCGGACATTTCCTCCCTTCCCGCGACAATTAACGCGTTATTCGCAATGAAGATCGAGGGAATAAATGGACGAGCTGTGTTAAACGGGTCGCGTTTTATCGTATTTCGAGGCAAGTATTTTCCAGCGTTCTTCCTGCGGCCCGACTCCCTCGTTCTTCCTCCGCGTCGTGGGGACGCTGTCGCTCGTTCCATGCGCGAGAATCGCGCAAGGTCAGTCTTTGACGGGCGAAAAGCGTCGCTCCGCATGGACGCACTTGGAGCGGCCCCGAGTCGATATTCTGTTTGCTTCAAGTATTTTCGAGACTGATAGCAGCGGCGAGGGGCGATCTCCCGGTGCACTGCGCATTTTGCATTCCGTGTGCGCGAATAGGTCGCAGGTCGACCTTTGATGTCGCAGCAACGGCGCGTCTCCGCTCGCGAGCGAGCCGCGAATTTATCCTCGCGGTTTTCGTAGGATGGCGGGGCCGCGTATGCAAATTATCAATGAAGTGTCAGTACACGAGGAGGTTCGCGCTCGAGTGAGCACGTTGCCTCGGTAAACAGCCGGCGTTGCACGAGCGCGCGGAAGTCGCGCGTGAACACCCGGTACCGGATCGCCCGTGTTGCTGAGCGATCAAAGCTAATGGGGTAGCCAGCCGTGGTGGCGTATTAATCGGTTGGCATCCCTCGGACCTCGAATATAGCCACAGCCGTGCGCCCGTCACGTACGCGTGCACGAAGGCCGCCGTGGAAAACTTGGGCGCTCTCTCTCTCTCTCTCTCTCCGCTTTTCCGTCCTTCTTCTCTCTTTCTCTCTCTTTCTCGGAAATCGTAGATGACGCACGATTATTGTTTCCCGCCCGAATCGACGCCCGTGACCGAGCGAGTGTCGCGCTGGAAGTCTTGATATATTTCTCCCGTGCGCTGAAAGCTTCAGTTGGTCGTTTAATTTGGATTTGTAGCGGTACGTTTTGTGGCTAACGGATAAGCAGCAGCACTGATTTATCATGGTATTCGCCTCAATATTGACATCCCATCTGCTGCTGAAGCGGATCCCACGGTATTATGAAACACCCTGTATATACGGTGTGGAAATTGCGCCACGCGCGTTGCACATTTAAGCCTTTTTTCGGCGGCCTTCTTTTGAAGAACATCGTGAAGGTCGATAGTTTTGATTATTTCGAATGTCTGTGAATTTTCGTAAAAGTTTCACCGGGATTCTCTATCTTCATTTGCAATATCGACTGTCGCAATCATACGCGGAAGTATCGCGGAACGAAATAGAGAGAACGAAGATGCTTGTTCCGAAAGCTGCCAAGAGATTGCAGTGACGCAGTCGCTTTACGCATCCATAATATACGCTTCGCAGAATGTAACGGGTCAAAAGAGATACATCTGTTTGAACACGCGGAGGAATTTTCAGCAAAAGTGTAGTGTGTCTCTCTCTCTTTCTCTCTGCGTCACATTGTTTCGTCTCTCGTACATTCCTCGTAGACGAGAGGAACGAAGTGACTCGGCGGGGCGAACGGAATCCTGAGAAACGACATAACTCTTGTTTGAGAATTTCGCGGGATCTGCTTTGAAGCCTAGTGAAAGTCGTAAAAAAGAAAGAAAACCTGGCCACGCCTAATCGGTTTTGCTCGAAAAATATTTGACGGGTGGTCTAGGATTTTTAAATATACGGCACACCCGAGACATTCAGAAAGTATCTGCGACATTTTTACGATCGCGTAATGGCGAGGCCCCTATTTTGTAGTCGCTCACTCCATGGATCTCGCTTTTATTCCGACCGAGCTTTGTTTGCGTTATTTTCAATATGAATCACATTTTAATGACGAGTTTAATAACTGAACTCCGAAGAATAACGACGGGGCGATTAAAGAGAGAACAAAACGCGAGTTCTCTCTAAAGTCTCGCGACGATCTTGCGCTTAACGTCGCCGCTCCGTCGACCTTTACGGCGTCTCCTTTTCACCCAGACGCACCGCGTGAATATTTTCCTTTACTTTAAATTCATTTCTACGGCTTGTTTTTACGGTCGTTTCACCATTTTATTTCGTACTCGGTGATCTCGTATCGAAGGGACGACGATAACTGACTCGACGTTTGCCCTTTTCAAGGTGAAAACACACGGCGCATAGCACATTGCCTCCCGGGGGTCACTCGTGATTTCCCCGGATTTTTTATCTTCGCGAATATTGGGAGATACGGATTTTCGCGAATATCGATCGATACGGGAATGTCCGTTGGCGCGACGTAGATAAGGTCACGGTTATTCGTTGTTTTCGAGGCCGACCGGCTCGATACCGCAAGTGGGTCATGGCTCGATCACGTCGCTTATTAGTTATCTCCCGTTAGGCTAAAAAATGCGACGAACTTGGGATCCGCCGGCGACGAAAGTCAGCAATCGTGTTTTGCGCAGCCCTGTATTATCGGGCAATAAAACAACTTCTAAAACTCTCAAGTACGCCGGAACGACGTGATGGCGGTCGTTATTACGTAATGCGCGAAATCGCATCGCCAGGTCGGGCGGATCGACAATAAAACCTCTCTCCGATTTCGGCGCGCATTGTAATGCGATTTTCTCGGCCGGTGCAAAACCCGAGGCGTTTCGAGTAGCGCACGACGAGCGATGCGGTTCTTCGAGCCGCTATCTGCGGTGAAACAGGCTTTACTAGTTTACTAACTGGTCGTTAAACGGTAGAACCGATTCATCGCGAGCGATGCTTTTACCGCGGAGCAGTTTGAGAAATACCGTCGCCACGGCACCTGACTGCAGTAAACGCGTCGTCCGCGGCTAAAAGCGCTCCTTTCGACGGCCCTTAGCAAGCACTTTCGCAAGCACCGGCAACTTTGCCGTTTCTCATGCCAATGATACCGTTCTCTCCATTGCTTTCAGAGCTTGCAGCAGCAGCCGCGCTCCCAGTCGGAACGACAGCTATCAGGTGAGTTTCTCTCTTTGTGCGTGTGCGTGTGTGTGTGTGTGTGAACGAAGTAACTGTTCCGTTCGGTCGCACGGGCCGGTGAAGTTCGAGTCGTTTTAACTGCGCCGTTTGTTTCTCGTAACTATTCCTCGAGCCGGACGGACTTTTTAACGACGGCTCGCCGTTTGCCTCCGCGGAAAAACGACCGTTCGATTTCAAGGCGATACCCACGCGAGCGCTATCACAGCCGCGCGTAGGCGGACACGGCATTCTCCTCGCGATTCCTTAGCCACGCGAGAGCGGCTCTTTCGTATTGTTAATCTCCTCGCGCGCTAATTTACGCGGTGACAGGTCGCACGCGCTCTGTGACGCGACGTACGTCTGACGTCTGTGTCTCTGTGCTTGTTTAAAATAGCTGGCCCGTGAGCGGATTTTCTCGGGAATAGTTTCGAATTTTCACAGCATATTAATCGAAGAGCATACGTGTAAAATTAGAAGAAGATTTATCGTATACGATAAAATACTAATTTTGTGCTTGCGTTAAAATCGGTCTTTGTTCATATTTTCGTATTAAATTTTTGACACTCGTGTACTGATTTAACATTGTGTGTTTATATTATCTCAATATTTTGTGTCGAGTCGAGATTCAACATATGTAAGTATTAAAATAACACATTTTATACCTCAATACCGATTAACATGTTATGGATGTTTATTTTGTGTCGATTTTTTACATAATATTTCCGTTACTTTTCAAAACGTATTCACCTTGTGTTGAATTAACACAAAAATTCGCGTGGTTGAGGACATGTGAAATGTGTTAAAACGTAACACCAAATTTTCTACTGTGTACCGAAGCTGAGATAATTAAAGTCAAAGTGAACACTATTTGCATGAATCACAGATATGAAAACGGCTTCGAATATCACGTTTTTAATTGTAGCAAACTATCCTTATGTTTTTAATGAAGATCGGAAAGACGATAAGGGATACTCCGCCTCTAACGTTCGATTGAGAATTGTTTGGCTTCATATCTGCGGATAACTCGATCGCATATACCGAAAACGAGATTACTCTGAGGGACCACGTATACATATATTCGCGGCGAGTCCTCTCTTGGCCCGCGGTTGATTACAGTTGAACGACGGTTGTCAGCTGACGACGCCAATCTGCCATTAATTTACGTTCTACCTCTGCATGGGATACAAACGAGCTCGACACGGGCGATAATGAATATTGACATCTTCGATCGCGAGACGAACGAAACGGGGGAGGGCTGTGTCGGGTGGCCAGCCGAGATCGATGACGATCTTCTCGAACAATATCGGCTGAGCGGTATCGTCCGATAACGAGTTTAGCGTGTAATTAATTTCCCTCGCGCAAGAGAGCGAGAGAGGTGGCGGAGGGGCGGGGGCAACGCGATCAAATGCAATTTGCGACGGAGCGTTGCAAAAGGCGGAATTTTCGCCCTCCGACCGCGTTGATACTGTAATGCGATGTCTGAAGGTTCATTACGCGCGTACAGCTTGCCCGCGCGTATCTACGGCTTGACTTAACGCGCGTGTAATATCGCGCTCACGCTATTACGCGGCGCGAAATTGATCGAAGACACCCGAGGGTGCGATCCGCGCGTAATTTTCGACGCACGATGCTCCGGCCGCTCCGAGATTTATTCGGTTACGCTATTTCGGAGATTACACCGATCGCGAGTTACACGCCCGTTGCGTAGACGCGCGATCTAATCGTGCGTTCTGCACGTGCGATTCATTCTGATAAATATATACAGAGTGTCCGAAATCCTTTTTGGTATCCGTGGTGTGGAATGGGCGAAACCGAATAGGAAGGTCATGTATCATTTTGCAAGATTCGCGATAGCTAATGAGGAATTAATTAGTATGTACGGGCTAGTAAACGCATGTGGGAAACGGTAAGCTGGATGATCCGTGTAAAAATTTATAAAGGATATCAACTGATAGCGAGACGAGTAAACCATTTTTTTTTTATATATAGAGTCCGACTTACCGTTTCCTGTGCGCTCATTAGCTCATACAGAGTAATTAATTCATTAACTATTGCGAATTTTGCGAAAGGGTGCATAACTTTACTGTTCTCCCGTCCTACTTGCACGCGGATCCCAAGAAAAGTTTCAGCCACTCTATATATCGAGAGATTCTGCACGTCTCCTTCTCTCTCTCTCTCTCTCTCTCTCTTATTTGTATTCAATAATATAATTATATTATATTATTAATTCTTTGTGATGCCACGTGAAGAAATTTATATTTGCCGTACTTATCGAACAGTCAAGAGATTTATTGATATTAAGACGCGAGAGATCGCGCGTGCTTACGCGGTGAGATATAAAAGAGAGAAGTGGAAGTTTAATTAACTTCTCTCCCGGTAGAAATGAGAAAAATAATGATATAAAGATAATGATAGATGCCGAGAGATTCAGCTTCCAGCGGGGCTCCCTCGTCTTCTCTCGATCTGTATGAGAAAGTTCTATCGCTTCCTATTCCGAGCGTGTGCGCGCGCATGCAGTTGTATTGTGTCGAATTCGATCGCGAAAGTTTAATTAATTATCGACGTGGACTAATTGCTTTCTCGCGGTGCGATCTCGCGGCGCGACGTGGTTACGACTTCCGGTATATACAGGTAGGAGAGGCACGCCCAAAGCCAGAATGCGTCCGTAGATGCGCGCGGCGATGCACTTTCCTTCTCGCCGACGGCGATCGAATCGGCCGACGCTGCGCTTAATCGGATAAATCTCGCGATAGAAATATGGGAAACGAAAAGAACGAGGACCACCGCCGATGTGACTCCCGACAGAGTGGAAAATCAGCGATATCGCCGGCCGCGCCGCAGCCGCCTTGAACTAGAAAATTACGTCCCCTGGTACGGCGTTGTGAGGAAAAAAGAAAGGGTCTATTTATTATCCGGTTTAAAAATAGAAGCTCTCGCGATATTTTCCTCGACGAGAAACTGTCGATTTCCTCCATCGGCCGATTATACGCGTGATAATTTGCAATTTCGTTGAAAACGCCAAAGGTCAATCGTGACGTAAAACTATAAACGCGCTTTTCATGTTTTCCCTCCTTCCTCCGTCGATTCAACCTTGGGTTTTTCTTTTAAATGTGTATAATCTTTTAAATGTGATAATTTACTCTCTCTCTCTCTCTCTTTCTCTCTTGAATATCACGATTACCGAAAGCAAAAACAATTTATTCGCGTCGAGAAACGACGTCCTTAAGGAATCGTGACGGTCGCCGTCTGAAATTAATTATTCGAAAGCACCCTCGCTGTTTCGCGAGAGCGTAAGTCGCGTTAACGCCACGTGGATTCGGCAATGAGAGCGCAAAAATAAACAGAAAAATTACACGAACGAACGACGACGGAGAGAGGGAGAAAGAAAGAGACATTCGTTGGCTTCTCCATTCAATGATTCGAATAAATACCTATTCGCTGTTTTGTCTCCGCGCGTTCCCTATCGCTCTCACCGTTATTTTCTCACAAAGCAGCGTGACGAACAGACGATGGAGAAAAAAATCGTATCTAATTTACGCGACAAAAATAAACGAAAGAAAAAAAAGATTAAACGTTCGGCGCGAAATAATTCTGAGCGATAAATTATTTCTAGGAATTTATAGCCGATGGCGCACCGCGGCGACTTGTGATTGAGGTTAACGACTGAATTTACCGTTGATTCAAAAGTCCTGTTTCTCGTATTTTAGCGGTGAAGTGTTTGTTTCCGGCATTTCCAAAAAATGTCAACACTTTTATTACGTCGTAATTTTTACGTATGAAAATCATACAATACGTGAAAGTCGAGCAACTCCTTCGTGAACGAATAACGATTTAACGAATTTCGTATCTTTTCTCTATAAAAAAAAAAACCGATAGGTCACATTCAGTTCTTTTGATATCCATTTGATATATTTGCAACGTTTTCACCATCCAACATTTAATATTTATATGTGTAACAAGCGTTATAAAATTATTTTCTCGTAGCTAATCAGTTTTCATTTCAAATTACGAGCTATTCCGAAATGTATCGGTCTCGGTTGTGGTGTCGCGCATAAGATATGCAGCATTGGGTTTTGAAAAGACAAGGATATTAATAGTAAATATCGAATATTTATTGAATAACTCTATTAAACCAAATAGCTTTCGGTTTGCGTCGCATTGTCCGAAGAATCAGGTGCTGCGATACGTGCGATTCGCGTGAATAGCGAGAACGGGAGTAAATGACAGTATGAGAAGCGCAACGTAACAATACCAGATTAATCCCCGTCAAGAAACTGGAGCAACATCCTACGTGCTCTTCGGGGAAGCTGCCAAGAACATTTTTTATTAATATACGATCATATTGATTATATTTCTCTCTCTCTCTTTCTCTATCTCCCACTCTTATCAATATTATCATTTCAACTCTTATTCATATATGATCATATAATTAATCACATAAAAAGTAATTTATAGTATAATTGCGCCGTCACAGTGAATGAAACATAATTGTCACATTTGTCCGAATATGTTGCGAATATTCTGTCGCGAATTAACCTTAGCTCTCGCGACACCTCTGGCCATTCTCTATTTCGCCCTGTTTGCTTCCGTTTTCTGTTTATCGAGAAACGATGTTTACTAAATAAATATTGCTTATCGACATGCAGCCGGATATTGGATACGGAAATAGGATTTTTATTTTCGACCGAGTAAAGTGCATTGAAAATTGCATCAACCGGCGCGTGCATCACTCTCCGAAATTGATTCAGAGGGGATTAAATATTAATCAAACCGGTTCGGGCTTCTCGTCGTCGTTGGTGGCGACGTTATGCGCAGAATGTAATCGGGTAAACATCGGATTCGGAGTGTCGCAAAAAAAAGAAGTACGAAAAAGGAGGGAAAAGCGTGGATCGCGCGGGACGCTTGCGCTGCGGCGCCGCCGCCGCCGCCGTCGTCGTCGTCGTCGTCGTCGGTGGGCTTTCGTTCCGTCCCCCGATGGAAGTCGTCGGCAGTCGTCGCTA